TCAGAGAGGGGTAGGGATGGGGGGAGGGGGGGAGTTCTGCATCTGGGTCCCTAATAGGCCATGGACCAATACTGTGGCCCATGGTTTGGGGACCAGAGATAATGACTCCTTAAATTTTATTCTAAATATAAATGAAAGCCACTGGGACTAGAGGGAGTGATTAAACAGGATTCTGGCAGAGATTTACTATTTACTAAGTCTTACTACATTCCAGATACACAATGAAAGAAGTAATTACAATATAAAGTCTGATTCAAGTACCATGATATGAGAAAGTTCAGAGACCTGAAGAATGAGTAGAAATTATCTAGATTCTTTTTTCTACCCCATATAATTTCTTATTCTAAATTCTAGAATACTGGAATGTGGGGTGTAGAGGAGGAAGAAGTATTCTGAGTAGTGGGAATTACTCTAGAAAACATGACTTGTTTGGGGAACTAGAAGAAAATTAAGATGACTGGTTGTAGAATGCGAGCTGGGGCTGATAAGATAGGCAGAAGCCAAGTTATAAAGGTATTTCTATGCCATTGTTTTTCAAGCAGTCAGAGATCAATTTAGTAAGTTATAATTAACATTTTTAAATGGAATAGAATATACTGGAGCACACTGCACATATTAAAGGTAAGTTTTGCTTTTTTAAGAGTCTTCTGTTCAGTTGTATGCATATGTGTGTGTTTGAGTCACAGCATAAAATGTATTTTTTATTATGGTCATAGTAAAAAATGTTTGAAAATTAGTGTTTTAGCCACATTAAGGAATAAACCTTACCTTAGAGGAAATGGAAACCATTGAAAAGTTTTAGGCTGGAAAATGATATGATCAAATTTGTGTAAGTGTGTGTGTGGGGGGTATGTTTTGTTTGTTTTTATATTTGTGTTTTGGAAATATTACTCAAGCAGCAAAGTGGAGAATGGATTAGAAGGGTAAAAGACTGGAGCCAGGAATGCATACAGTTGGCTATTGTTTAATCTAGGCAAGAGCGGATGATAGTATGGCCTGTAGAAGTGGCTACAGGATTTGGTAACCAGTCAGCTGTGGCAACGGTGAGAGAAAAGGAGGAACCAAGACTTGTTCCTGCCTTGGTCAGCTAGTAATACTATCAGAGAAGACAGAATACAGCGAATGTAGGAAGGGAGGAGTTAAGTTCATTTCTGAAAATGTTTCCATTGATGTGACTTCAAGACATGAAAGTGAAGACAATGGGTAGCAAATGACTGGATGTATAGCCCTGGATCCCAGAGGAGAGATCCAAGTCAAAAAGTTAATTAAGAACTGATCTTCACAGTATCAATTAAGCCACGGCAGTAAGTAAGATGGCTCAAGAAAGATGGTATAAAGAAGAAAAGATGTAAAGGATGGACAGAGATAAAGAAATCTAGCAGAGAAGAATGGGAAGATGCTCCCAGAGGACAGGCAGAAAACTGGAGAATGTGTGTCTCAGAAGCAATGAGAAGCATTTCAAAAAGTAATGAGTGACTCAACAATGAGAAAACGAACAACCTAAAATTAAAAAATGTGCAAAAGACCTGAGGACACCTCACCAAAGACATACAGATGGCAAGCAAATTAGCATATGAATCTATGCTCATCATCATATCATTAGAGAATTCCAAATTAAAACAACGAGATACCACTACACACCTATTAGAGTGGCCAAAATCCAAAACACTGACAACATCAAGTGCTGTTGAGGATGGCAATGGTAACTCTCACTTATTGATGGTGGGAATGCCAAATGATACAGCCACTTTGGAAGACAGTTTGGCAGTTTCTCACAAAATTAAACATTCTCTTCCCATACAGTCCAGCAATCATGTTCCTTGATCCATACCCAAATGAGTTGAAAATTTATGTTACAGTAGCTTTATTCATAACTGTCAAAACTTGGAAGCAACCAAGATGTCCATCAGCAGGCGAAAGGATAAACTGTATTTCATCTAAACAATGAAATATTATTCAGTGCTAAAAAGAAATGGGCTATCAAGCCATGAAAAGACATGGAGGAACCTTATTGCATATTACTAAGTGAAAAAAGCCAATGTAAAAAGGCTACATACTGAATGTATGTTTCCAACAATATGACATTCTGGTTATGGAGACAGTAAAAGGATCAGTTGGAGGGGGGGGGGCGGGAGGGATAAACAGGCAGAGCATAGAGGGCCTTTGGGACAGTGAAACTATCCTGTATGATACTACGATGATGGATACATGTCATTATACATTTGCCAAAACCCATAGAATGTACAACACTGAGAGAGAACCCTAGTGTAAACTATGGACTTTGGGTTATAATGATGTGTCACCAGAGGCCAGTGATTGCAACAAATGGACCACTCTGGTGGGGGATGTTGACAGCAGCGGAATCTTGTGTTAGGGGGTAGGGTGAAGGGGTGCGGGGAGAGGCGTAAGGCACATGGACACTCTGTACCTCCCACTCAATTTTGCTGTGAACCTAAAACTGCTCTAAAATATAAATTCAATTAAAAGAAAAAAGGAGTGGTGAAGTGCTAACTAGTGGTGGGCAGTCATTAAGATAAAGTCTGAGGATATACAGTTGATAAATGATGAGATCACTGGCGACCCTGGCCAGAGCAATATCAGACCACTTTTACTTCCTTTTATAGCAAAATTGGGAAGAGTTATGTCTACTTCCTTTCTCCATTTTCCTTGTATTCCTTTTCTGTCGTAGCCATATGCTTTAGGCTTTTGTTTCTGCCCCTCCACCAAAAGTACACTTCCAAATCATTAATGATCTCCACATTTCTAAATCCAACATTCAGTTCCCAGTCCCCTCACTTGACTTAGCAGCAGCACTCCCCACAGTTCCTCACTCCCCTCCTTGGCACACTTTCTTCACCTGTCTTCTAGGACAGCAGACTCTGGCTTACCTCACCATTCCTACCATCCCTCGTCAACTTCCTCATCTCTAAATACTGGTAATGTTCCACAGCTTCATCCTTGGACCTTTTCTCTTCTCTGCAAGCAATCAATGCCTAAATAGTGATCTCATCTCATAGCTTTAAATATTATCTGTACACTGACGCTTCCCAACTGTACACCCTTAGCCCAGAACTCCCTCCTAAATTCAACTACCGATACAGTATCTCAACTTACATGTCTAATGGGCCCCTCAAACTTGACATGTCTAAAACATCTCTCCAAAATGTAAATATTCTTTCCCAGTCATCGCTATATCAGTTAGAAGTAAATCCACCATTGCAGTTGCTCATGCCAGGACTCTGGAATTCACCTTTAATTATTCTCTTTCTTTCACCTCAAATCCAACACTAAATGTTGTTGGAGCCAGACTGCCTGGGTTCAATTTCTGGTTTAGCCACTTAGTATTAATAGCTGTGTTATTTGGAGAATGTGCTTAATTAACCTCTTCTGGATTCAGTTTTATCACCAGTAAAATGGGGGTGATAATCTTATGTATCTCACTGGGTTGTTATAATAATTAAATGAGTTCATGTTTGTAAAATGCTTTGAACAGTGCTGGCTACATAGTATGCAGCATCTCTTAAACCTGACCACTTCTTACCATCTCTACCTCTACACCCCAGTCTGGGAACTAGCTACCAACATCTCTCACCCAGACTTTTGCAAAAGCTTCCTACTAACCAGTCTCCCTCCTTCAGCCCTTGCACCTTTCAACCTACTGACAACATAGCAGCCAAAGTGATCTTTTTTAAACAAAAGTCACTGTAAAATTCTTTCAACTTTTTGTATGTTTGAAAGTTTTCATAATAAAATTTGGAAAAAAAACAAAAGTCAGATCACGCCATTCCTCTGTCACAACCCTCTAAACCTTCACATTTCACACAGAGTAAAAATTAAAGTATTTACATCAACTGGGCCCTAAAATTAAGCTCCCTCTCACCTCTCTGACCTCATCTCTTTTCTCCCATCACTCCTTCTTTTCAAGCACACAGGCCTCCTTCCTGTTCCTTAAACACTCAAGCATGTGTCCTTTCTGTGGCCTTTGCACTTCTGTTCCCTCTGCCAGAAACGCTCTTCCACCACCTGCACAGCTAACACCCTCACCTTCTCTCAAGCTTTGTTGCAAGGCCAGTTTCTCAGTAGATGTTAAACCATCTTAAACCAACCCCCCCCCCTTTATTTTTCTCACAGCATTTAGCACTATCTGATGTACAATCAAGTTATCAATTCGAAGGAGACTTAAAGTTAAATCTAGTCCAAGTTTCACTACTTTATCTAAAATGCAACACCTATGTGCTTCATCTTTGTCGCTAACCCAGTAGATCTATTTTCTCCCTTAAAATGAAAATAGATGATGAAGCAAAACTAAATAAACTACTTTCGGCATTGTCTCTAAAATGTTCTCTTCTTGTATACAAATAAATGGTGATGAAATACTGTAGATTCTGGGTATTAGGATCTATTTTCAGTGTTAAATTTTTTTCAAGATCTATCTACCCTACTGCCCACTCATTTAAAAATTTTGTATTATTGGAGTCTGGAGGATAAATGTCATAGAATTAGGAGATGAAGTAGCAAGACTAAGATGCAAAGCCTCCTTTATCCTTGGCATTTAAAACCACATCAGAAGGGGGCCCCAGTAAATGGAAATATTATCCTGAAAAATGGTGTGTGTGGGGGGCAGAATGGAAGTAAAACAGAAACATTTATTGCATTGCTGCTATGTGATGGGCCTATTAACTCTTTACATACATTATTTAATTTAATTCTTATAGTAATAGCCCTCACAAAACTCTCAGCCAATTTGTAGATGAGGAAACTAAAGCTCAGATGCAGAAATATGCAGGGCCCGAATTCAAACCCACATAGAGCTATCTAAGGCTAAAAGCCTGTATACTCTATTCCTACAGAACCTTCCTCCTGGTGGCGCCAGGTCAGCAAACTGAAGCTAAGAAAGGTTAAGTGGCCTATTTATACTCCATCACTACATTCCTGGGATAACTTAGCATGTCTCGCTTTCCATGAACCCAGTCATAGCTGTGTCTTGGCAAATCCCTTACCTGTAGACATAAAAAATGGGATGCGGAACTTTCCACTCAGCACCCGGGCCCGCAGATTCTGCAGGGTGCTCCCATCAAATGGCAGGGCCCCGCACACAAGCACATAGAGGACAACTCCAAGGCTCTGCATGCCAAACAGAAAGCACACACAATTAGAGGAAACACAGGAGGCCATCATAGTGTGCTAATGCACACAGATCTTCATACAGATGATGGTGAGTCATGCACAAGATTATGGAACACATTTTTTCTTCTTTTTGTTAATGAGAAATAATATGGAGCATTGCCAAGGCCAATCATCTTTAGAATAGTTAACGCCTTTTCTTTGCTTCCAGACATTAATTTGGGGTAACATCCCAAATTTTTCTCAGTATTCATTCTCTAGGGTAAGGCAAGTGGCAACAACAGGAATCTTCGTTCTTGGAAAGGGCACCCATCCAAGCTGACACTTGGGAGTTCTTTTGCAGATGCAAAGGGGTAGTTTGAAACTTGTGGCTTGGCCCGTAAGATAAGTGCTGGAGGAAAGACTTTACACAAAGAATTAGGACTTGAAAGAACAGTGATCATGATCTCAATTCACATGCAGCATTACGTGTCCTCCAGGAGAAGGACAGCTGTCATCAATCAAGGGTAACCAATGCCATGGGGTTAAGAGGAGGCCGTTACTTACCCAGATGTCCACCTTGGGCCCATCATATTCCTTTCCTTCAAAGAGTTCAGGTGCAGCGTAAGGAGGGCTGCCACACCAGGTCTTCAGCAGCTGCCCAGGAGTGAAGAGGTTACTGAAGCCAAAATCTAGAAAGGTAAATGGACACAATTCATGTTATCTTATAACCCAGCAAACACTAGTTTCTAGTCATTAGGGTAAAGGTTCCAAATCATTTAGTTATAATATTAAATGTAAAAAGAGAATATTTAGAAACTACATAGCCAGCCACTTAAACTTTAAAAAAAAATAGCAAAACAGAGATATAGATGAGTTAGAATGCAAAAGATATCTGGTTAACTAAAAGTAAACATGGTTTATGTCAGCAAAAACAGCACTACTCCTTCATAAACCTAGGCAGAGTGAGGCAAATGGTATTTGTTCCTTTAAAAACAAAAATGAAATTGGATGACTGATGTCAAGACCACATTAGAATCAGTATATCCAGGTAAGACTACTCAACTGGACCCAAAAGTTTCATATTATTTTTACTTCTTATGACAAATACATTTATGATACTTAAAATTAGATAAAGTAACATTTTCATCATTAAGGTAGCTTATTCAAAATGAAGAATAAGCAACTTATTTACAAATTTAACCAAGAATGTTTACATTTTAAATTCAACTCTGTGCTTGAACTTTCCCCCCTTCTTTTCTGCCCCTCTTACTGTTTTAAGAGGGAGCAGATGGGAGGTAGGAGTGGTGAGTCTTGGGGAAGAAAACTAAGAAAATGAGCAAGGATGGCAGGCCAAAGGATAGAGAGCCACTGGCATATAAATGTTTTTATTTATGCACAGCCTGTAAGACAGACTAGAAATCTCTTATGCCCTAGGCATACCATACTCCCTGTAATCACAGCATCTGAAAATGCTAAGTACATCCTACTCTCTGAAACTCTTTCCTCTTTTTCCTAGTTTTACTCTCTTGTTGACAACTCTGTCTCCTTTTGCTATTTGCTTTCCTTTTTTCTACCTACCACAGAAGGTTTTTTACTAGGCATCTGCCGATTTTGACTGCCTCTCCTTGCTCTATATTTTCTTAGAGGTAACTCTTGTGGTCCCACCATTTCCACTATGATTTCTTTGGGGATAATTTCCCATATTTATTTCTCTGGCCCTGATACCACTCTTTTTTAAATTATGGCATCTCACTATGTTGCCCAGGCAGGAGATTAGTGCCTATTCACAGGCGTGATGAGAGCACACTACAGCCTTGAATTCCTGAGCTTAAGCAATCCTCCCAATTCAGCCTACCGAGTAGCTGGGACTATAGATACATGCCACCCCGTACATGCCAGGTACCACTCAAGTTCCTGCATGAACTTCCAATACTTGCTTGGGAAGAAACACCTAAAACCTACTATTTTCCAAAGTCAAATCTGCGCTTCCAGTGATGTTCTCATCTTCATTAATGGCATCACCATCTCTGTTACTAGAAACACTGGAGCCATCTTTAATTCCTTTCTCCTTCTCATTCCCCATTTCAAGCTGGTAATAAAACTCTTACTGCTTCTACTCTCTAAGTGTGTCTCGAATCCATCTCCTCCTTCTAAATTCATACTCCTATCATCTCTGGCCTAGACTGATGCTATCTTTTACTACCTACATCTATTTCATTTCCCTCTAAGCCATCCACTCATATAGCACAGTGAATACTATAGAAATCAGATCCTGTTACCTCCTTGCTCAAAAACATTTGCTGGCTCCTGTCTACTTACAGGATAATCTTAATCTCTTTGCATTGTTATTTAAGGTCTTTCACAACCCAGTCCCACCCCACCTTTCCAATTTATCCCTGGACATGCTAGCATTACTATTCATATCCTGTATTTACATATCTTTCTTATGCTATTTCCTCTCTGTGCCATGCCCTTTTTTTCTTTTCCATCTTTAAAATGCCACTCATTTTCAAGGCCCAGTCAAATATTACTTCCTGTATGAAGCCTTAACTGATTTCCACCAGAAGACACAATGTCAATGGCTTCCTCCTCTGTGCTTCCACAGCTTTTTGTTTATACCTCTACATCCCATTACCACTCTGCCTTATATTATACTTAGTCGTATTACGTGTTTATTCCCTGCACTAGTTAGAAATGGGGAGGGGGGTGTAGTTTTATTTATCCTAGTCTCCACACAGTGTTTTTAATACGTATCAGGGACTCAAGAAAGGATCACGAAATTAAATTGCAATAAAATCACTGGCCAATCTTCTCATCATTTTCTGGCTACGGGAGCCTTCTCAAACTGACAATGGCAGCTGGCCAGCTACTAGAGCCTCTATGTCCTACCCATCCCTCCCAAGGTTCTAAAATTAACTTAATGAGGCTTTGAGGTCAAGACCACAATTAGCACCATTATAGCTACTTCTATGAGAAAACAAATATTCTCATTCATTAATGGAAATAAATAATACCTCTTCTGTGAAGTCTTACTGGAGCCCCTATAAGAAATATCCCCTACCTTCTCTGTACTCCATTTGTATTTTCCCTTTACTTTATTATTTGCATACATATGTGTATGTGTGTGTATATATAGAGAGATTATATATATGTAAAACCTATTTTTCTAGCTCCTGAAAAACACCTTATCTCTCTTTTGTACAAATCTACCCTCTCTCTCTAGTTCCTTGACACCTTATGCTTCTCTGACTCTTTCACAGTATGTAACAGTGTTGAAACATAGAGGGCACTTAATAAATGTTGACTATTGAATGAAACTGCATTTTAAAGCTCTACCAACTTGTCTACAACTTTTAAAACATAGTAACTTTAATTTACAACTTAAAGTCAGCATGCACTTAACACTGTTAAGATTTTTCTTGAAAGAGTGGGGATAGGTTGCTAAAAATCTGAACAAGTGAGATTCAGCAAAGTAGATATCTATGAGAATTATGTAGAAAGAAGACCCTTAATTTTTTTTATTGGTGTGCCAAACTTTCACCAGGTCCTTTTTGATGATTAGCCTTCCTCTTCTCCACAGCACAGAGGATAAATGCAAATGATTCTGTCAGAGCTGATAGATTCTGACATTGATGTCTACGGCCATACCACCCTGAACGCACTTGATCTTGTCTGATCTCGGAAGCTAAGCAGGGCCGGGCCTGGTCAGTACTTGGATGGGAGATTCTGACATTGATGTGATTAAATAGCAAAGTCTACAAGAGAGAATCAAGAGGTATTTTTTTTATGTGTTTTGAATGGAGAATGCAACAGGCTAAGCAATGAATTTAAGCCAGCTGATTTTAAATTTTCTCCTAAGCAGTTTAAAATAGATAAATTTCTCATTTTCAACCACGAATGCTCTATATACAAATAGTAACCTTTCCATCCTGTTACTCTACCAGGGAGGGGCAGGCACAAACTTAATAGCATGAGCTTATTTATTAGATCTACCAAACAGGAAGTCTTTACAAAGAAAACAATATCAAAGGGAACCAGCTTCTGTGATGGCTACAGGATCAGACTGCTATTAGGTTTTTATATTAGAAATGAGTGTGCAAGGATGAATGATATGATTAGGACCTGACAACTAGAGACAGCCACATCTGGGGAAGCACCTGCTTCCACAGCATGTTATAGCCAAGAGCTGGCTTCAAAAGTTAGATCCAATGACCAAACGCAAGATTTCAGTAAGATTCAACAATAACAAAAAAACCCTACTGGCTTGCTCTTATTTCCTCCTCTAATATACCAAGCACAATCCTCTCATCTTGGGAACCTGTCAAGGGGTCTCCTATAATCATTTCAAGTATTATTCTTAACTCTAAGATTTTGCACATTCGAGCAAAATGTCTTACTCCCTGCCTCCAATGACACATTTTTTTCCCCATGATAGGCAGGTTCCTCCAGTTAATGAGACTAGAGTATTCCAACTCTTTCTTTAATGTACCAAACCTAACAGAGTCTGACCTACCCTCCCTTTCCAATATTATTAAAAATTGTCGGTCTCATTGAAAGCACATTACTGTCTTATCTTCCCTATCAGTGGCTCTTTACAAGTATCTCACATCAATATTAACTATTACTAAGCATCTTATATGGTAAAATTCTGACTTGCTCAAGTGCATTCAGGTAGAACATAACTTTATTTTATGAAAATTTAAATTATCCATGTGGGAAAAACCTGAAGTTATTAACATATACTAAATCTAGAACTCATTTTGAAAGTTCAGTTCCTTCCAATCAACACTTCAGGGACTGAATAACCGAGATGGAGAGAATACCTCCTTCTTTATTCTCTTAGCTGCTTGCCTTTGGGGACATTTTGCTACATATTTTAAGAGAATTGCAAGGAAAAAATAAAAGCAGTTAAAACTCAAACTAGTCTATTTTTGGTTTTGTTGGCAGTTTAGGCAAGTACAGGGAAATGCTGGGCTGTATGGTAGGAAGTGGAGGTGGGATGGGGTAGGTGGAGAACAGACAGACGAGGAACAGAATTAGTAAGATTTTTGCTGTTTTTAGTTACCTACACACTGACAACTGAAAAAACTGAAAGATCACGCAACTGAAAGAGAAAATTCTCATAACAAAAATTAAAGCCATGAGTTAAAAAAAAAAAAAGAAAACTGAGGAAGAGGTTTTACTGGCTCACATCTGAAATGCCAAAGAAGCAGGTAAAGGCAAGCATTAGAGCTTAAGTTTGATCTGTGACTTGAACCTAGAATACTGTTTCCATTCAATGAACTTCTGCATCTTATTTTGGCTCTAGAGCCTGTCTTAGTCATAACGTCTTTCATTGTTTACTAAAGCTTCTTATTGTTAATGTCTCTTTTATAAGTCTCTAAATAAGTTCCTCCATTTCCTTCGATCATTTATTGAACATCTATTTATGGAACCCTTCCAGTGAGTACAGCAATGTGTTAGTTCCTAACAAAGAACCAAAGACATAAAAGATCCTAGGGAAAGACTTGGAGAATGGCCAGGATCTGAAGAAGCAGAGGGGAGGTAGAGAGGGTTTTCTGAATGTAGTTGGGAAAGAGCATAAGCAAGGAAGAACACTTAGAATTAACTTGTTAAGTTCAAGGGACAATAAAGAGACTGCCCTGGGTATGATAAAGGGTTTGTAGAGACAGGTGGCAAGAAGTAAAGA